TATTTATAATACCTAATACAAAGCAAGTCCTATGTAAAGAGTCTGTAAGTACCATATTTTTTAGGGAATTACAAGAAAAATGTTCAATACAGGTATGTAATAGGTGGCTACAGCATGGCAATATGGCTGGAGCAGCTGGGCACAACATACCGAGGATTATTAACCACAGGTGGCTGTGGGAATCATGATTATTAGTTGCAAGTGTTGTTAACTTTAGTAACTACATTTTATTAAGTTCCTCCTTGGGAATCATGAGTATTAGTTGTAAGTATTGTTAACTTTAGTAACTCCATATTTGTTAAGTTTCACCAGTTTAGAAGGTGGTGTGTTTCCTTTGAGAAATTCCTGAGAGTTGCAGCTTCTTGTCTCTGACCCTCAGACATGTGGTTGTCTGGGTTACTACTACCCATGGTGGTTGTTTTTGTTGAGCCTGTTTTCTCTTTCCTGTATGAACTCTCATTTCTGTGGAGCAGGTGTTGAGGTTACTATGGTAATCCTAGCCCATAATAGTTTGTGGGGGTTTTTTTTTTCCTTTAAAAGGCTGATGATTGCCTGCAATAAACGTCGCCTTGATCAGACTCTTGTTTTAGCGTCATCCTTCCTTTCTCTCTGCCCCATCTCCACCCTGCTGCTCTTTCAGGTTTGAGACACTGCTGGACAGTGCTCTGCGTCGCCGGCTCACGACAAGTGGCACCCGAACAGGGACTTGAATGAAGTGGTGATCGGTGAGCAATCCGTGAAACCTGCTGTTAAAGGGTTCGGCCAGACCGAAACAAGGAGGACACCGCTGTCTGGAATGCCCGGCGGGGAAAATCCTCGGAGAAGCAGGTACCAATGGGGCACATAGGATCCAAGATGAAATTTAGCACAGTAATTCAGTCTTTACTCAGTGAGAAAGGAATTAAGGCAAAGAAAAGGTCATGGTTTCAATTCCTTGATTGTATGGATGAAACTTGTCCTTGATTCAGTGATATAGATGAAATAACTGAAGATGTTTGGGCTAGAGTAGGAGGAGAATTAAATGAAAAATTAAGGAGTCATAATTCTGAAAGTGTACCAGCCATTACATTTTCTTTCTGGTCTTTAATAAATGAGTGCTTACAGAAAAGGGATGTACAAGGCTTAGATAAACACCTCAAAGAGGCCAAAGAAACCTTAGAGGAATTAAGAGAAGTTAAATCACAAAATTCAGAACATAAGGAGAAAGAGTCAAAATTGTATCCTGATCTAACTAAAATTCAAGAAAGCTCCTCAGAGTCTGAGGGGGAAAATGAAGATAATAATGATATGGTAGGAGCTATATTAACTGCTCATCCTCCTCCCACTGCTCCCATCGAACCTGATATAGGGAATATAAGAGAAATAAAAGACTCCAACTCAGATATGATCTCAGAGGTAGAACAATTAAGGAAAAGAGTTCAATTAGCAGAGGAAAAACAAGCGCTCCTTAGAAAATTAGAAGCAATAAAAATAGATAAAAGGGTTATATCAGACTGGGGAGAAAGAATCCATAAGTTCACTCCCCTCCAGAAAGCGCTGAGAGAGGCCAAAAAGGAAGGAGAGGACTTAGGCAATTTCAGCTCTTACGCTTATCCAGTTATCGAAGAACTAGATGGCCAAGGTAACAGGGTAAGAGGGCACAAACCCATTGATTTCAAGATGGTCAAAGAATTAAAAACAGCTGCAGCTCAGTATGGGACAAATGCACCATTCACTTTGGCCATTGTTGAGTCACTACAACTGTCCTTTTTGACTCCCAATGATTGGAAGATGGTCTGTAAAGCAGCCTTAAGTGGCGGTGATTTTCTTTTATGGAAATCCAATTTTTTTGATAATTGTAAGGAAACTGCTTGCCATAATGCTCAGGCTAATATGGGTCAAATCAATTTTGAAATGTTAGCTGGTGAAGGAGCTTATGAGGATGTTATTCATCAAATTAGTTATGATCGTCCTGTTTATGCTCAGATAGCCTTGGCAGCCCGCAATGCTTGGACTGCCCTTCCCTCCAAAGGGGACCTTAGCTCTAGCCTCTCTAACATAAGGCAAGGACCTGATGAGCCATTTTCAGATTTTCTACATCAATTAGTTTCTGCTGCAGGGAGGATTTTTGGTAATGTAGATAATGGCCTGCCATTCGTTCAGCAGCTAGCTTTTGAAAATGCTAATAAACATTGTCAGGCTGCCATCCGACCCTATAAAAGAAAAACAGATCTTTCAGGATACATTAGGCTATGTGCAGATACAGGACCAGGATATACTCAGGGATGGGCACAAGGGATGGCTATGGCCGCTGCCGCTCAAGGGATGAGTTTAGATACATTTTATGACAATTCACGCAACAAGAAAGAGCTCACATGTTTTGGTTGTAAGCAACCTGGACATCTGAAGAGAGATTGCCCTAATAAACTCAATTCTGGGTCTCGGCCATCAGCCCTATGCCCTAAGTGCTGGAAAGGGTACCATTGGGCATCAAGAGTGTAGGTCAATCTTTGACAAGGAGGGAAAACTCACTGATTCTTCTCAGAAAAATAATTATGAAAGAGAACCCCATAGTGGACAAAAAAACTTCCAACGGGGCCCACCTCAGGCCCTGACAAATATGAGGACAAATCTCAGGCAATCCCCCTCATCCTGGGTTTAAAACTCTCCTACCCAGATGTCCACAGGACGCTCGATATTCCACCGAGGTTAATAATCAGCCCCTATGGGCTAGATGTTTCCCAGATTCGTGGTACTCTCCTGTAGATTCCACCATTAATAGCAAGCTTAAGAAAGGTCTTACTCTTTCCTCACCCCGTCATGCCCAGACAGTTTTGGGAGAAAGGCTTCTTTGCGGGACTATTGCATGCATGTCCTGGCTGCCCATGACGGGAATCCTAGGAATCGATGTTAGAAATGGGTCAGAGTCCACAGGACTGCCTCAATATTCTCATAATTTGACAGTTCCTCCTTTTTTTTCTTGTGTGACCCCTGCTTTCTATTGGCTCATGTGCAATGGTTCCCTGCTTAATAATGATCTTGTTAATTGTTCTAGTATGCGTTGTTATCTGGCCTCATGTTGGGAAGGGGGTCAAGGTTTTAATAACTCTGCAGGATTAGTGCGAATTCCTCCAGCTCAGTGGGTTCCTGTGGAACTTGAACAGCATTATCATACCACAACCCTGATGGTGAGAACTGAAAGGGACCTTGGAATTTTGGCCTTCATCGCTGCCATCACAGTAGCTATGGTCACCGCCACCTCCATTGCCGTTGCAGCTGTAGCATTGTCCCAAACAGCTATACAAGCAGAAACCATTAATGGGTTGGTGAAACTCAATGATCACCTGTATGAAGGACTCTTGCTGAAGCAAGGACAAATTGATTTAATGTCTGAGGAGATAAATGATCTATATAGATTGGTTAAAAGTGCTTGTGATCCAAGATTTGATTTTTGTATTACACCTATCAAGGTTGGCAATGCCACTCTAGTAAGGGAATTGCTCCGAAAAAATTTTTATGGACCTTGGACTGTTAAATATTTTAATTTGACCCAACAATTGTCTAAGAAAATTTATAGGTTATCCCCTATGCATGTTGATCCTCTTGAGATGGATACCACTTTTATTGGTGGGATTTGGGAGAATTTAAGGAAGTTGTTTGATCCCTCTTGGATTGTCATCTATGTTTGTTTAGGAGGTATTGTTTTGATTTTATTAATAAGTCTAAAATATTGGTTCCAATACAAACAGAAGCAGGCTTATATACACCACAAAACATTACATGCGCTCATGGCCCTTAAGGAAGGAACCTCTGAAAATTTGGGCATTTACCTCGCTCAGATAAAAAGAGAGCTTCAATAAGGGTCCAGAAAGTCAAAGACAGGTAAGAGGAAAAGGTTTGACTGATCAACCTAAGACAGGGGCTTCTGTTAAATCTTCATCATATAATAGGCCTTTAAAACAGATGACCCCAATGACGATAAGACAGCCAAATGCTTTTCCCAACCTAAGACAGGCTCGGACATGCCTACGATATAGTTTCTCCTGAGCCTCTTGTTACTACGGAACCATAAGTTTTAAAATAAAAGGGAGGAATTGTGGGAATCATGATTATTAGTTGCAAGTGTTGTTAACTTTAGTAACTCCATTTTGTTAAGTTCCTCCACCTTAGAAGGTGGTGTATTTCCTTTGTGGAATTCCTGGGAGTTGCAGCTTCTTGTCTCTGACCCTCAGATGTGTGGTTGTCTGGGTTACTTCTACCCATGGTGTTTGTTTTTGTTGAGCCTGTTTTCTCTTTCCTGTATGAACTCTCATTTCTGTGAAGCAGGTGTTGAGGTTACTATGGTAATCCTAGCCCATGATAGTTTGTGGATTTTTTTTTTTCCTTTAAAAGGCTGATGCTTGCCTGCAATAAACGTCGCTTTGATCAGACTCTTGTCTTGGCATCCTTCCTTTCTTGGCATCCTTCCTTTCTCTCTGCCCCATCTCCACCCCACTGCTCTTTCAGGTTTGAGACACTGCTGGACAGTGCTCTGCATCACCAGCTCGCAACAGGTGGCAAACAGCAGCCCCCAAACCTGACATAGTATCAAGCTGAGACCTGCACCAAGTACCAATCTTCTGACTTGACAACACACCAAAACCTGACACCTGATATCCATCTTCTTGCATGGACCAAGTGGGACCACCTGGATCAACTACCAAAGAAGACACAAAAGAACACAGCAGTTGACTTTTGGGCTACTGCCCTCTTGTTCTTGTAATTCTGCTTGCAGGATTACTGCTCTCTCTCTTTCTTTCATAACACCCTTTTCTCCCTGAGCACTTTTTTCTTTTGCTTAATTCTGCCCTAAGATAAACGGCAATCTTTCATATCCGCCTATTGTCCTTACCAGTTCATTGACCATTTGAACCTGGAAAACCCTGCTGGGGTTTTACCCGATAACAGATAGACACAAATATTTTTGATCCATGGTTGAAATGGGCTCCCCCCCTCTGAGTATCATACAATCCTGCACTCACCTTACTTGTGATGGGATGATGTGAGGCGAATGAAGTATCCTGGTGTGGTTGAGCACAAGCATAAGTACTCAATCTGATCACTCAGAACTACTAAGTGATTAATGTAGCCCGTACCTTGCAGCTTTTGCCCTGGAAAAAATGGCAGTTGGTACTGCGGGTGAGATTTCATCACATCACTCAGAAATAAAAACTTATTCTTTCTAGAATTTGTTATTTAATATCTTCAGGTCTCAGTTGACATCGCGTAATTGGATCCTTTGAAAGCAAACCAAGCTAAGTGGGAGCCTCAGTGCAGCTGTCATCCCACTGCTAGACCCTCTCTCCTGACTTAACCTAGGCTTCTTTTCTTCCAACCCCCACGCCTGGAGCCCGCTCATACTTCGTCTTCTCATCCTAGTGATCCACCGGGCGGCTTTGCTGAGCTCCCACACAGAGGGTGCCTCTCCTGTGCAGTACTGTACAGGCGTTAACAAGCTCTCATTAATTGCATGATTCCCACATGATTCTTTTCAGGTCACTCCTACAGCCCCAGCGTTCCAATTCCGTGCTCGATATAAAACAGGTGTCCAAGACCTATTTGTGGACGGAGTAAAAAATGACTATATCATGACCCCCAAATCCTACATTTTCTACTATATAGTCCCCAATCATTTTTGATAGGAATTTAAATTGATCAAATAAATTTAAGTGTACGAAGGCGCTGAAAAGGCGCTGTCTGGGCTCTGAGATCGGGACACCAGGAGGACCGGCCCCAGGGGCGGAGCCTGCGGGAGGGCGGGGCGAGGCGGGGGCTCCCGGACAGCGGCCCCGC